CCATCACAGTCCTTAATCTGAGCTCCTCTCCACGTGGGAAAACCAGTACCAGGTCTCTTAATCCCTGCTCTTCCCAAGAGGGGTTTCTTAATCCTTTTCCTACACCAGAGGTGGATACTGTGGATTAAGAGACAATGGCTCCTAATTTCAGAATAAAATGTCTCAAAAAATACAGAACTGTTTCCAGGAAAGAAACCAGTTCCACAAAATTGAGGGCCAGGCCAGGAACCAGGCATCCCCATTGAACCACAGTGTCCTACTTTGCAGTCCCTGCATGCCTCATCAAAAAGTTATTTCCACTCCAAAAAGCCTCAGTTATTATTTATTCTGCTTTCCCCCCATTTGCATCACGTTGCTTTCCAGGGCAGACAGAACATTTCCCACTTAAATTGAATGGCTGCTCCGTGATCTTGGTGGAAACTCCTTGACACAAACAAGTTAAACATTCAGAGAAGGCTGCTTTTCCTGTCCTCTTTTTCCTACAAATGGTAGAATCATAGAATTGGGTTGGCAGGGACCCTTAAGGGTCTAGTTCAACCCCCTGCAATGAGCAGGGACATTTTCAAATTGGTCAGGTTCCTCAGAGACCCATCCAACCTGGCCTTGAGTGTTCCCAGGGATGGGCCATCCACCATCTCAGAGGTTTTGATAACAACAGCAAGGACAGAAACATGAAATCATGTCAGCTCTCAGGGGGTAAAAAACACCTGTCTGCAGATGCTGCATGACTTTTCAGGAATACAGCCTTTTCCACCTGGCACAAATCCAAGGGAAATGCAGTTAACAGGGTTTATATGTGGTTGATTTTCTTCCTGGCAATTAGTCATCAATCTGCAAGCTGAGGCAGAGGCCTCTGTTTCCCTTTGCCACGTGGTTTGTCGTTGCTGTGGCTTTGCTCAGACATGATTTCAGTTCTGCCTTTGCTTTCAGAAATTGAGTGCCTTGTGTTGACTGGTCTTGCAAGAGACTTTCATGCCACCAGGCAATAACAGAGACCCTGTATCCTCTTTTTATACATCCCTAGAGGTTCATCCCTGGATTTTTTGGGCTGATTTGCATGACTATGCCTTTTAAAATGTGTATTATGAAGAAACGTGGAATTGCATTACAGAAAATCCTATACCTGCAAACCTTAACCCACTACCCCAGCTCTTGGAACTGCTGTGGTCTCCCAACCTTGGCCCCTGCTATGCAGGATCTCAATCTTTCCCTAAGCAAGGATATCTTCCAGCACCAGGCATTAATGCAGGGAATGAAGTGCTGGGAGACACATCTCAGCAGTGGTTCCTCATCCACAGGGACCTAAGCAAGGTGACTGTGGGTCAGAGACAGCAGAGACAGGTCTGAAGGGAGCTGAAATTTGTGGCTCAGACCCCCAGACAATGCCAGAAATGTATGATCATGGAGACCCAGGCTGAGCAGCAAAGGTTTTGGCACACAAGCAGGAATATCTCCATGGGGCTGAGATGTTCTGTCCTGCAGCCAGTGCCTGTCCTCAGAGCTGCAGGTCGACCTCTGCAGGTCACAGGAGAACCCACGTGCCACGAAATGTGGCCACCAGCCAAGTGTCCCCACAGTGCCTTGCTGCTGCTGCTGTCCTCCCAATGATAATGGACTCCAGGCAAATAGGATTCCTATTCTGTGCTGGAGCCATCAATAGTACTCAGTGCTGCCCTCCCATCCTCTAAAACACATTCCAATTGTGTTCCATCAGCACAACTGGCATCGACTCTGCTGGGAACGTGAACCTGCCGACAATAACAGGAACAATTGCACATTGCTGCAGAACATCTGAGGCTGGCTGCTGTGTTTTAGAGCAGAAGGGAGATGCTCAGAAATGCTCAGCAGGCATCAAATGAGGGAAACTTTAATAGCATGTGCTTTTTGATTAAAAAAGCCAACCAGCTGAGGACAAGCATCCTGAGATGAGTACAAAACTGCAGTGGGTGATTCACAAATCCAGTTTTAGCAAACCTGAGTAAAAATGCCAAGTATGGAAAACTGAAAAGCATGTTTGGAGGTAGCTCATGATCTAGTATCACAGCCTTTGTTTCGCTTCCCACTCTTTCACTACTGCATGGAGTAAAAGGAAATGTTAAAATTCATCCTCAGTGCGTTGAGAGCTCCTACTGCTTTCTATGAGTCAGGCCAACTTTCTTACCTTTAATGTTCTCTAATAATTGTTTTATCTTTTCCTCTCTTGTCTGTCCTGATCAATAATAATTGATTTCCAGAATAAGAAACCTCAATATCTGAAATAGCACTCCTGGCACATCACAAGCCTTCAGCCTCTGTTCAGCCACAATTAACATCATCTGCCCAGTTACTGCATGTACCAGCTGTTGTGCTCTCCAATATTCTGCCAGCCAATTTTAGCACTTATCAGTCTGTCAGGATGCTGGGTTCAGCAGCAGGATGCTGCTCCAGCTAGGAGCAGGACTTCAGCCCTATCTGAACTCCATTGGCTATGGTTTATTGCTTTGATTGCTTCTGTGCTCTAATAACCAAGGGTCAATCACTGGGCAACAGAGACTTTCAAAACACACCCATTTCCCGAGAAGCAGTTACTCCTTGCCTCAGCAATCAAGTTTTGTGAAGATACTGCCTGGAGTAACTTCATCTGGGGCAGAGCACAGGGCAGGTGGCTGTGAGAGGAGGTGTGGGTCACACCTACATCCTGAAGTGACCACCGTGGTCCTCTTCTCTGCCACAGAACACCTGATGCTTTGCTCCAGAGTAAGGAGGCTCCTCACCACCAGTGGAAACCATGCAGCACCAGGACAAACCAGCCTGGCCAGGCCTTGCTGTGCTGTCCAGACTGTCCTGGTGCTCCAGGCTGGCCTGCCCCGACCTCTGAGCTCCTCCTGGGATCTCCCATGGCTTCCCCATTTCCAGTGGGACAGGTCTGGGTGGGGTGACACCTCCGGGTGAGGGATCTGCAGTCTGAAAGGCAGCTTGGAGGAGGTGCAGGGGAGCCCTCTCACACCAGTGCCATGGCAATTTAGGAATTCAAACACTTGAAAGTCAAGGCTGACAAAGTGAGGCTGCAGGCTTAATTACCTCCTGGCACCTACACCTTTCAGATGAGTCTTTAAGTAGATGATTGTTATTTTTCCAGTGTGGTCCTCACCTCACTGAACACACAGGGCCTGCTCAATCCGGGCAGGGTGGCTGCAGCCCCCTGTCTCCTCCCAGCTGTCATCCCAGGTGACACATTCCTTATTTCCTGGGTCACCAGCCTCCAGGCTGATCTGTGATCATGCACATCCCTCATGCCTGTGATGGGTGGCAACAGAAACCATCCCTGAGAACATGGGGTGGTTGTGGGGGGTGGAAAATTGCATTTCCAGCACTCACAAGGAAAGGAGAATTTTGACCTTGATGTCCTTGTTCATCTTCAAAATGCAAGTTTCTTGTTCCTCCTGAGTTTTGCCATTAGGTCAATCTCCACAGGTGCCTTTGAGCTGCTGCATCCCGAACCCAGAGGCTCTGTGGCTCTTTCCTGTGGGATGTGAGAGGAGAGCAGGGGAGCTGCCCCTCTCCACACCACTGCTCCCCCACTGCCAGCCCCTGCAGCTGCCCCATCAACACCAGTAGCCTCTGCACAAACCATTCCCACTGCTTGCTGCTCCTCCTGGCTTTTAGAAGGAGAGTCTGGCTGCAATGAGGCACTTAAATTCTACAGCAGATTCAAAGCCTCCACCATAGTCAGTCACTGAGAAAAGGGGCAAAACACTGGCAGAAGCATTCAAACCCAATCCTTTATTCTCATATCTACACTTTCTTTTTATTCCACCCACACTTGCTTTTTTTCACTGGCAGTGGAGATACTTTTCAATGGCTATGTTTCCCCCAATAAGTCCACTAAGAGCAAGATTTTGATTTAGAGCACTGGAAGATTTGATATTGTACCCAACAGAGAAGATGTGGGTTTGGATTGGAAGCACCCTCAGGGACCTCAGTCACAAGGACAGACATCCTATAAATATGCATTTAATGAAATGGGACACTCCTCATGCAGAGTGCTGCTGTTGAATTCTTGGGTGTTTTTCTTTCAGAGGCAGTGTGCTGTCTCTGAGTCCAGCAAGACATTGAATTAGGATTCCTGGGTTCCATTTCTGGCCTGCCACTCACCCATGATAAGATACAGGGCAAGTAATTTAACATAAACAAGCTTCAGATTACAGAGTTTAAATATTGCACAGGGTCGTAGTGAGACTGATGGGAAGTACTATAATGGCATTATTAAAATGTTTTCTAAGCAGAAGGAGCTGTGAGGACCATGACCTACAAGTCCTGATGGACACGGGAGTCTTGGGGAAAATTGTGGCATGGGATTGTGTCACTGAAGGCACAGGAACAGCAGGAATAGAAAAATGGGATTGGGAGATGTGCTGCTCAGTCTTCTCTGCATTAAGGCTGCCTGGTGTGTTGTGGAAGGGTAGGGGGATGAAGAGATGTTTGGGGAGATGGGAAGGTAATACTGGCAAATTTTTTAATTCCAGGTCTGGCTTCTGACCTAACAACAGGAACATCTGACAGTCAGTAGGAATTTTGGCACAAGCTCTGCTCACTTTAAACCTAGTATAAGCTGGTATAGTCCAAAAAGCAGTGTCCTTTTATACCGTCCCAGGACCTTCCCAAGACTGGGCAGTTTTCTTCCTAAATCCAGGCTCTTACACTCTTAAATTTACAGCTGTTATCATCCCACAGCAACACTGCACTGGTTTGAGAAACCCCGTGCTCTGAGCTCACACACATCATTGTTCTACTTCTGAACAGCACTTGGGTCTCCAGAGCTTGCTTGCTTTATCAACGAAGACACAGGTATTACACAGGAGTAGTGAAATATTTCAGCTCACAAATCAAAATTGAAATCATAGACTGTGCCTTAAAATTAGCCCCGTGCTTGCCTGAACAGGATTCATATCTCACTGGGAGCTAACCATCTTTTCTCTGTTTCTTAATTTTTTCCCCTCTGCTGCTGTTTCCTTTGTAAGGTGATCTTCAGTAAATACTGCAATTCCAAAGATATTATGGACCTTTTCTGCATTGCAACAGGGTTACCGAGGTAGGTCTGTCATTTGTGACATTCACTTCACTTTTGTTTCTTTCCTTTCGGAACAATTTAAACACAGGCCCCAGATGATTTATTTAGCTGCTATTCAGGCTTGTCTCTTGTTGCAGTCTGCTGGAAGAAGGAACTGGGGCAATCAAGAGCTGGAAAAGTGTGGAGGCAGGGAATCGAGCCACCTCAGTGCTGGCTGCACACGAGGAGCAGAGTGGAATGGAGTAGAACAGAGGAGAAATAATCTAAAATAAAAGCAAAGTGAAGAAGCCCAGCCCTGAGTACACACAGGCTGGGCACACCTACCTTGGATCTCAGTACTACATTTTTGCCTATATTGAGTGAAATGCAGCCACATGTTTAGAACGTGTTTTTTAGGGGGAAAAAATGGGACCACCAAGAAGTATTGCACTAGGTAATAAGCTTTCTTTTTAGGTGTTTTAAAATCTAATCCCAGGTATGGGATAGTCAAACACAAAGCATCCCAGCTGAATCATTTTATACAGCATAAATATCTGGAAATAGCAAATCTATTGCCCAGGCCATGCATTTCATAATTTACATTGTCTTGTGAAGTCCCTGTATCCCTCCTGCTGTAATTTTCCATTTGGGGAAAATCCAAATAGGATTTGCTCCCTTCAACCTCAAGAGCAGTATCCAGCTGAAACCTCAGTGTAGAGAGGGGTCCAGAGTCACGGGTGGGTGTGTGGGACAGGCTGGGATGTGGTGGAGGGTGGCATGATGTAACATCCATCCATCATCCATCATCCATCCATCCATCATCCATTCATCCATCATCCATCCATCCATCATCCATTCATCCATCATCCATCCATCCATCATCCATCCATCATCCATCATCCATCCATCCATCATCCATCATCCATCCATCATCCATCCATCCATCCATCCATCCATCCATCCATCCATCCATCCATCATCCATCCATCCATCCATCCATCCATCATTCATCCATCATCCATCCATCATCCATCCATCATCCATCCATCCATCCATCATCCATCCATCATCCATCCATCATCCATCCATCCATCCATCATCCATCCATCCATCATCCATCATCCATCCATCTATCCATCCATCCGCCCATCATCCATCATCCATCCATCCACCTCTGAAACACCTCCAGGCAATGGAGCAGGGTGAGGGAAGCCCCTAAATCATCTCTAGAACCTTTAATCACCTCTAGAAGGGAAATCTGCTGTCTGCTTAAGGACCTTGAGCAGCACAGGCTGGATGCAACAAGGCAAAGTCTTTATCTCCGGACACACAACTTTACAATACAGGAAAAGTGCAGGAGGAAAATAAGCCAGTCTTTTAATCATGGCTTTATTGCATGACTCCAGTTATGGGGATTGAAAGATAAAATTGAATTTGCATAAGCTGCTGGACAGAATTAATGCCCTTTGCTGTTTGTTCTGTTTCCTCTCATTTGACATTAGAGAGGTTAATAACTCTCATTTTCCTATGCTGTCAAATACTTCCACTCCATCACCCAGGAAACTTTTTTCAGCAGTTTTAATCATTCACAATCAGGGTGTTCACTGCATATTTGGCATTTTATTTTTATCAGAATGTTTTCAAAGAAAAATTGCATTTCACCCAGAATCCTGGAGCCCAAGTATACCTCCAAGGTTTACATCTGAGCCTATGAGATCATCTTTAGTACAATATTTTAAAAAGAAAAATACTCCATATTCATGAAGACATTTGTTTTGTTTGTTTTGGTAAATGAGTAACTAAATAATTTCAAGACATTCATAGCACCAAAAGTCATTTGTATGGTGTGAGTCAATACGTAGCTGCTGAGTCAATGTATCACAAAATACAGCTTTTTAACAGAAATTATTACTCAACGAGTCAAGAGAATAAATTAATTAGCAGGGAGCAAGGTCTGCCCTGGGATCAAAAATGATCACACTTCACATTTTACATGGGTGAAGCATCCCCTGTGCTGGTCTTTGACTCTTTCTGCCCCGAGATAACAGAGGTACCAAGGCAGGAGCAAGGAGAAAGGATGAATCTGCAGGAGAGAAGATGGCTCTGCATCACATGCAGCAGCACAGAATTCCAGCTGGCATTTCTAGGTCAAACAATCCTCTTTGGAACTTGCTTTTCAGGAACACAACCATCTCCCTTTTGACAGCAGACAACTGCATGGTGTCCATTGATCCCACGATGCCTGCAAACACAGAGAGGTAAGCCCTGCTGCCACCTGCTCCTCCAAAAAAGGGAGGTGGTTTCCTGCAGAAGCCTTTTGTGTGCAGTGGGAGGTGAGCAGCTCCCCAGAGGGAGGGGGATGGCACTAAGAAATGCGTGCTGGCTTGTAACACAAGTGCTGGTTTGGAAGGTTTTTACTTGTTAAAGCGGGAGCAATTGTCTGAGGAAAGAAATACTGCTTGTAGGTGTTTAATGCAGAACATCTGTTCCTATCCCTCCCTGTTTGCTGTCAGAGCTCTGTTGTTCCCCCACTCCTGCTTGCTCTGCTGGGGCACAACCAACAGATTATTTGAAAAACAAACTCAAAGCCTGTGGTGAGTTCAGGTCTCCTCATGGTTGGCTTTGGCCTGTATTTCATGATAACTCATCACTGCCACTGCTCCTATTGACACCGTGTGGTGGAGCCCCAGCAGCTGGGAGGGAGCTCCTGCACAGGACATGAACACAGAGCAAAAAGAGGCCGTGGCTGCCCCATCCCTGGAAATGTTCAAGGCCAGGTTGGATGGTACTCTGAGAAGCCTGGTGTAGTAGAAGATATCCCTACCCACGGCAAGGGGTTGGAACTGGATGATTTCTAAAGTCCTTTCCAACCCAAACCATTCTGTGGTTCTAGGATTCTGTTTCTAGTAAATCTCAGGGCTGGGTGTTGAGAAAAAGTGCCATTGCTTATTCAAACTCACAGGTTTTAAGAGATCTTAGAATTATCTTCAGAGACCTCTTTGTACTTCTCGGGGAGTACGGATGTGAAATGCAAACTGCGTTTTGAGTGTTGCTAACAGCAGCCCTCTGTGACTCTTCCAGGTCTCCATACAAAGTGATCCCAGTTGTGACTGAGCAACTCTCAGGTAAAACGACCCTTTTGAACTGAATCTATTACAGCTGAATTAACTAAAGCTGAATTTGCAAACATTTACATGTGGAAATTATGTGGCCATGATGCAAACACTTGAAGATGTCAGTGTCATGGTTGTAGCTGCAGCAGAGCAAGAAGTGTTTGATCACAGTGTTCTGTAGGAAAGCTTAAAAAATGTGCCGGAATTTCAATGAATTTGAGGATCAGGTGAATGGCTGAGTCCAGGGGACTTTCCCAATGCCTTGCTCTGATCTGACTCAGCACTCCTGATGCCCTGGGGAAGGTCTTGCACGGAGCAGGGGAGATTTTCAGGCAAGACAAATGAAAGCCTTTCCTGCAGTGTTCTGTTAAACCTGCCCATTCCTCAGCAAAGCTCTGCTGGAAAGCTGAGCACAACATTTCAACCTCATGTTATTTCCAAATGGCTGAGAACTCCAATTTCTGTTGTGGGCATGGTAGCTCTAAGTGTGATAAATATTTAAATCCACCTGACAAGATTAAAGAGGGCCTGGGTGAAAGAACACATCTGGAGCACGTTCCCCAGCCACAGGCAAGGCTGAAGAGCCACTCCTCCCTCTTTGCCTGCCAGTATCATGCTCAGGCTGGCAGCTCTCAGACACTGGAGAAGAACCTCGGCTTGGGGCAATTCCTGTGAGCATCTGGCTCATGATTTCTCTCACCTGTGCAGCTGCAGCATCTCCTGCCACTCACATCAGGGCAGCCTGAGCACTCTGGAGCCACAGGGAGAGGCTGGCAGGAGCTGCAGCAGGAGAGGAAACATCAAGGGGACACTCCTTGGAGCAGTCAAATGGGAAGATAGGAGAGACAAAGGGCAAGAAGTTATGATTGTCCTGGAAACACAGAGGGCATAGGCAGAACAGGAGAGGCACAGAAAACCTGGGGCTGGAAAAGTCCTGTGCAGGAGCAGGTGAGTTTGTTGGGATAGAGGAGATAATGTTTTGGTGGTCCCATCTCATCCTCTGGCTGAGTGTCCTGAATTTTGGATTAAAACAGAGTGTCTGACAGCACTGTCTTCTTCTAGAAGGGGAGGCACAGGGAACTGAGGCTGTTCTCTGAGGCATCTGCCTTGGCAGAAACATCTGGAAAGGAGGATGTGGGGAAGACAGAGAGGCTGCAGCAGGGAGATTGTGCATGCAAGGAGCAAAGGTGAGCAGAGAGCAAAGAGAACACAGGGAACTGGGAAGAACCTACCACAGTGAGATTTGTAACAAACCATAAACAGTGATTGCCAGAAGGAGATAGTCACAGCCAAGGCACACGTGACTGCAAAGGGGAAGAAGCTGTCTGCCAAACTATTTATTTCCTTATTGTGACAAACCCTGCTGCAGCAGCATCACTCTCCTGGTCTGGGAGGACACTGTTTGCATTATCACATGAGAAAAGGTGGGGTGGAGCACCTGGCTCTGTGTCCCAGCTGCTCTGAGTAACCAGTCTCCAGCTGCCCCATGACAGAGAAATGGGGCCAGTATGGCTCTGCCAGGAAATGCCAGTGACTTATACCAGCTGGGAAGCTGATTGAGAGGATTTCTAGAAAACATACTCCTTTTTGAATACCTTTTTTATTCCCCTAACATGGAGCTAACAGTATATTTTTATAGGACCGTGGATGACTTTTCACACTCTCCCAAGGCCCTCGTTTTTCATCCCCAGCTGACAGCACATGGCTCTGCTTTGTGCAGAGCACAGCTCACTGTGTCAGCAAGATCGCTCTTCACTCCCTGCATTTCATAAAACAAGGATTTCCAAAGATCTGAGCTGAAAAGGGCAGGAAAAATTCTGGCCATAGATTGTCAAAACATAATACAGGGTCTGCTATGGAAAGAGGAAGAAAGTTGAGCTGAGTGTGATGGAACTAATGTTCCTTGGTATCTTTTTCTCTTTCACATGGCTTGTCATTAATCTTAAGCATTCCTGACATTTTGCTGACAGTAGGAAGAATAAACAGAGTGGGAAATTGTTCCTCTTCATTAAAAAAAAAAAAAAAGCCAGCTCTATTCTTTTCTTCACTTCTCAGACAGCTCTGTCTGCATCGTTCTGCTTCCCAAAGCAACTCATCCAAATACATGCCAAAAAGGGGGTCATCCCAAATTTCACAGTGGTGGGAGGTAATGCACCTCTTTTCAGCAGTCTCCCAGGCAGCTGCAGAAGAATGACATGGGGAACAGAGGCTGTGAAAGGGACTGGGAAATATAATCCTTCGGGAGGAAAAATATAAGCAGTGGCTTCTGTCCAGCAGAGGAGATATCCACTGGAGTCCTGCTAAGAAACAGTTCTTCATTTCCTGCTCATAGTCACAGGAGAGGGCTGGAAATAAAAATAAATTTTTATTCCAGAGAGTGCTGGATGCAGCAGTGATCGATGTGTCAGGGGTCAGCTGTCTGCAAGTGTTAGGATTAGGGTCAGGGTCAGGATGAGGGTCAGGGTCAGGGTTAGGGTCAGGATGAGGCCTGAGCCTGCTGGCTCTGAGCCTGTGAAGCTGCTGGATCATACCCTGTCCCTCCTCCTATGGCCCTGGACCAGAAGACACGTGGCTATCCTAGCAGAGCATCAAAACCCCTGTGGCAAACCCTTTTCTCTGTGGTATTTAAATTTCCAGGCCCACTGAGTGAGCTTCCTCTCCCTCCCTTCAGCAGAAGGGCTCTGGTCTCTCTCCTCATGGTGAAACTGGCTCAATACTCACAAAATGATGCCTGTGTTGTTGCTCTAATTAGCAGGGTTCAGGCACTTATAGATTGGACAGAGGTGACAATTAAATGAACAAACCCTATTAGCAGCACCCTCTTGAGGGATAAAATTGAAGCCTGTTGCGTTTCTGATAGTGCAGAGAAAGGAGCTGTTGTGGAGGTCAAATGAGCCTGACCCACTGTGGTCCTGAAAGGACAGGAAAACATTCACAGGGACTTCCCTTCTGCTCCACAGTTAGGGCAGCAAAACCCAGCAGTGGCTACACTAGAGATCTGCAGGGATGCTTTTTCCCCCTGGATGATTCAGTACCCGAGATCTTGTGCAGTTTGGTGATGGTAAAATGGCAGAAGCTTGTCACTGTGTCTAAATCTTCTGATTCTGGCATCTCTCTCTTCTCCTTCTGGAGTCTTGTTCATGCTGGCAGCTCAGGAAGAGTGAGGAGGCAGAGACTGGGAGAGAAAATTCCTCCTCCCACTCCTGCTCCTTAGTGCATCCCGCATGGATGCGTGCACTGGCACATGGTCAACCACTTTGGGATTGCTCACCTGATGAGGAATTTGCATGCAACAGCCCAAATTAACCTGAGCTGTGAATTACATTAATCTGGGGCTCAATATGACAGACTTATGGGTGTGGGCTTGGGCTTGAAATTCACCCCTCCCCAAGGCTTTTGTCCACCTGGCTGCTTGTGGGGGTTTTTTTAGTTACTCTGACTGCCCCGATCCAAGAAAACCACAGAAAGTGAAATGCAGACAGAAGCCTGGGGCAGAAACATTTGTGAGAAACAGGGCAGGAATTCACCAGACTGATGCTGGCAAGGGAAAGGAGATGCCCATGCCCTCCCAGCCTTGCTTGGCCAGACCAGAAAGGACAGAAGGAAGCCAAGCCACCCCCCCAGCCCCACGGACTCCCTGCCTGTTGGGGCTGGCAGGGTGGCAAAGGGAGCCAGGGAGAGTGGGAGGATGAAGGTGGCTCCCTGGCTGTGATCCCAAAGGGTGAGAGGGTGGAGGAAGAGGCACTGCTGAGCAGGACAGTGCGAGGCAGAGGGTTCCTGCCAGTGGGTAATAAACCATCTGTGCCAGTGCAGCGTCACCTGAGCTGCTCAGGTGCCAGTCTGGCAGGGAAGGTGTGCTCTCCCTGCCAGCCTCCGGCCCGGCCGCGGCGGGAATCACAGGAAAAAATGCTGCTGCCATATTCCCCCGCACCTGCCTTCTTCCCAGAAGCTGCTGGAGACAAGGCAGGATGGCTCCTTTGTCCCTGCTGAGCTTGGCAGAAGCCAGAGGGCAAAGAGCAGGAGTCCCTGCGAGCAGGGGAATGAGCAGGGGGAGCCTGGGGAAGCCCGAGCTGGCCTGTCCCCTGCCCAGCATTAACCATTGCAGCATCTTCTGGAGGGGAGTGCTTCTAATTGCCATTTGTCAGCTGTAAAACAGCCAGAGTGCTGTGCAAAAACCTGACTTGCTGAACACCTGCACTGGTAAACACTGTGTATTCACAGAGCTGGCATAGGTGAGGGGAGCACAAAGGGTTTTTTGGGGGATGCTGCAACAGGACCCTCAGCAAAGTGCCCAGAGCTGCTGCCAGTGCTGCTTGCAGTAGGATTTCCCTTGCAGAGAGGGAATCACAGCAAAACAAATGAGGCAATCCGAGGGAAAAGGTGTCTGTGTGCACCTGGGGCTTCAGCCCTGCCCAGAGGCATAAAAAAAAGAAGGCAGAGGGTAACAAAAGGGAGCAAAAGCACACCTAACCCTCCTGTTCTACAAAGGAAGGGACAAGCAAGACTAAATCATGTCAGAGCAATGTCTCATTTTCTTCAGAAACTGGGGTTACCAGAGGTCTTTCCCTCGGAAAGGAACAGGGCAGAGAAATGGATCTTTGTCTCTTTAAGATGAGGCAAACTGCCACTCTTAGTCATATATCTTTACTGCACCCTAGGGTTATAAAAACATACATCTTCATTTTGAAAGTCTTTTATTACATCCATAAACATCAGATTGCAGCTGACTGTTCCCTGGATGAGAATTTCCTAGTACTCTGAGTGAGTTTTGACAGGGGGAGGGAGTGAAAGTAAGATTGTTGGGTTGTTTTTTTTTTTTTACTGGAACAGTGTTTATAGGGAACTTGTCAGTCTCTGGCACGCTCCAGCCACTGTCAGAGGGCTGAACAGCATCGGAGGGAGAGGACACGGCTTTCTCTGCTTTCTCTGCTTATTTTCACTCTTGGACTCTGTGCCACCCCAGGTGCTGCCCACGGTGAGTTTTCCTCCTCTCTTAAATAGGACGCAGCCTTTGCTTTGTTTCAGCACTTGGGTTTTGTGAGAAAACTGGAAAATGGGTCTCTGTGAGAAGAACCAATCTCTGTTTTTTCTGCTAGCCACTCCGCTGGGAGCTGGGGGGGAAAAAATGGGAAAAAAATAAAATAAAAAATGGGAATTAGATCTGAGGCTTTCAGAGCACTGAATGCTTGCTCCAGTTTTGTGACACGGGGTAACAGGCAAATTGTTTTGACCAGTGATGTGAATGCTCCTGGCAAGTATTGCTGATGTCTCTAACAGCCAAGGAATTGCATGTCCTTTCAACAGGTACAAGAGCATTTATTTAGAAATAAATGCTAAATGCTGGGCTGTATTTCTATCTGATGTGCTTTGCCTGCTGACTGCACTCGTGAGGCATCGTGTTCCCGCGGGGAAGGACAAGAAGTATCTGCAGAAATGCCATCAGGGTGTTTCTGTGTGGGGTATAAATAGGTGTTCTGTAATCTGCAGTGAGTTTATGAGTGCACTCAATGCTTCCTCTCCTTGAGCACACCCCCAGTGCAGGAATCACTGCAGCACTTTGGGGAAAAAGGGAAACAATCCCAAAACAGCATCTCAGGGCTCAGCAAAGGTGATTTGTGCTTCCCTTTTCTGCCTGGACACTAAAAGATGGGAAAACATTGCTATCACACTTCTTCCTTCCTAAAGCGTGCTGTCCCTTGAAACCTGGGGTCCTGTTTTGAGGGATTGTTTGCTTTTCCCTGTGTTGGTGATTGCAATCCTGTGATTATCTTGGGAAGAGGCTGGGGCTTCATCAGCTGGCTTTCCTGAGCCAGCAGAAGATCCCGAGAGCCGGAGCTGGGAGCTGCTGCCACGAGGGCTCCCAGTGTGGCCACTCTGCAGGAACTCAGGGAACAACGGGATCTTGACAGGATCCCTGTGGCAGCTCTGTCCAAGCTGTGTTCTCAAGGGAAAAGGGGCTGGGAAACTTGTACCCTGCTGTGTCCATCCCACAAACCAGGAAGGGCAGACCTCATTCCACAGGGACAGCACTTCGTCATCTCGTGTTTGCCCGGAGTTTATGCAAGGCAGCACAATCCTTAGGCACTTGCACCAGGAAAATTGGTCTCCAGGATAAAGCTGAAAGGCAAGCTGGGTTTTATTTTGCATTATTCTGAGCTGTGGTGTTGTTCATGGGCACTGTGTCACAGTGTGCTGCTGGTGTAGAGACGCTGACTGTGAGCAGGAACTTTCAAAAGCCAGTTGGGATCCTGGGTGTCCCAGCCAAGATCTGTGAAAGGGGTGTCCTCTCCAGAAAGTGCTGCCTTGAAACAAACCACCTCTCAGAGACCAGCCCCCCAAAAATAAAACTTCTGAGAAACCCTGGCTGTAAGCAGCAGGAAGAGGAAGGCAGGTAAGACAAGGAGACACTCCCAAACACCATCACTCTTCAAAGGACTAAAACAATTTTTTGGCCTCACCATGAAAACTGGAACCACTTTGCAGAAGAATTGAGGGTGTCCTCTTTCCTTTCTTTTTTTCTATATATGTCTCCCTTCTATTTTTTTTCAGAGAAAGAAGAATTGTTCCAGAATTTATTGGGACAGATTGCCGAGCAGTTCTCAAGGTAAGAAACTGAACATCATTATTAATTTAAAATGTTATTTCTTTTATCAGCCTGAAATGAAATTTTCACAGGAGGCAGAGGGGCATTTAAAACATCTTTCAAATCCCACTCTGTCTGCCAAATTTAGGTCTGGGACACGTTATTTCCTGCTGACAGCAACACAGTAGCTTAAACCAAAAGCAATTTTATCTTTGATCTAAAAAGGAGATCAACTAGTAAATGCTCCTTCCCTCTTAGGAAGAAAAGAAATGTTTCTTCATTGAACAGTCAAATCATCAGATTTGTTTCATTTTCCCCTTTATCACCCAAAAAGTCTCTCCTCTGAGAGGATTTCTCAACATCTGTGTAGCTGCTTATTTAATCCCAGCTGGTTTCAATAAGACAGATCAGTCCCAGCACAGCCCAGCAAATCACCAGCGTAACTCGACAGGAGGGGAGGAGGTTTCAGAGTGTGTAGACACCAAGACGCTGCTCTTGGACAATTATGAAGTATCAATTTAACAATTACCAGTTTAACTTTGCTTCCCTGGGGGAGTACAGTAGCAAGTCACTGCTGAGAGAGGGGGAGATGAAGTGTTGTAGAGCCACAGGTCATTCCCAGGGCCATAAAAATAATTATCACTTGTTACTTTTTCTAAAAATTAAGCCTGGGGTGTATTTTCTGCCCCAGTGTTAGCAATTCCATGGAAAATTTGCTATGACAAACGTGGCTGGGCAGATCAATCATAGAGACACAAATATGGGCATTTCCAGCAGAAGTTTTTAGCACCTAGGGTAGGTAGAGCATTAAATGTATTACATTAATACATGAGGGTTTTCTTTCCAGGGTTTTTAAAATCAATGAGCTGAAAACGGAAGTAGCTAATCACTTGGCAATGCTGGAGAAAAAGGTTGAATGTGAGTGTCCCTTTATTCCTCTCCCAGTGGGAACTGGTGCCTTCTTGTGACCTCTGACCTGTCCTGCTCCTCACAGCCCCTCCACTTTCTCCAATCCCTCGTAATTTGGCCAACTTTGAGCCCCAGAGGCTGCAGGTCAGCCCGTGGTGACCAGTGGGGACGGTGGGAGCCTGTGGTGGCACTGGTGTGGGGACCAGGGTGGGCTGGCTGGTGCTGCCAGCATCCAGAGCTCCTGCTGCCCTCCCTTTGAGCACTGCTGAGCCCTCCACGGAGCTCTGGGGCCTGGGACCAAGTGCTGCTGTTCTCTTGTCCCTGTGGCACAAGGGCTCCACCACCCACCTCTCCATCCCCGCTCCCAGCCCTCCCGTGTCCCCCATGGCCCAGGTGTCTGTCACCTCCCTGCACCCAGCAGTGACCTCCCCATCCCTCTGCACTCCTCCAACACTGGGGAACCTGATCCCACCCCCACTGGGGCGTTTGGTCTGTAATTCCAGGGGGTAACACCCTCCTTCTGCTGGCAGTCCAGTCCTTGTCCCCTAACACCACCACACTGCTACAGTGCAGCAGCCAACTCCAGCTCACCTGCTCAGAGAGCTCCTTTTCCGGGATTTTTGGGTCATTTTGTTTCCCCCTGTGCAGACTCTGAGTTGTTTTGGTACATTCTGCAGAACACAGGTCCCAGAGAGGCAGGGAAGGGGTATGAATAAGGTGCTGCCATCCAGTTGTGACTCCACACCCCACATCCTTGAGGATGCTCAGCGTTGAACTCAGGAGCAGGGAGAGCCTTCCCCAGCACTACAGCTACAGAAAGAACTTTCCCACTAGAGCTGGCTGGGAATAAAAAGAGTTTCTGCTTCATGGAAGAAGTTGTTTTCCTGAAACTTCCCCTGAGCAGAAACTGCCTTGACCCTGCAGCTGCTTGGGGAGACTGATCCCTTTGTCATCAGGGAGAGGAAGAAATGTCCTCATTTGAGGAGCAGCTGCAGGGAAGCCTCTCCCTGTGGCCACCCCAGCCTCAGGCTCCTGGTGCTGAGGGATGTCCATGGAGGGGGCAACCTGCAGCTTGCCCACCCCCCTGAAAGGAACCCAGGAATGAATTCCTCCCTGTCTGTTTGGCTGCTGCTTCTCCCAAGGCTCTGCTGGTTTATTCTTTGACACCCCCAAAAAAAAGAGAAAAGAGAAATGAGCTCAGTCACTCTGCATTTTCAGTGAAACTTCTGACCAACTCCATTTCTCAGGGCTAAATGCCATGGATTAGAGCAAATGAGGTAAGCTGTGGGTCTTTGTATCACCTTGGCAGCCCAAGCAAGCAACTATCCCAGCCAGCTAGGGGCTGCTTTTAGCCTCTGGTGAACCCCTGGGAGCTCTGGCACACACTCTGCCTCTCAACACTGGCAGCTCACAGTGCAGGAGGGAGATAACAAGGCGTTCATGCCATCCCTGGCAGGAAAAAATTGAGCACCTACCCACTCCAGCACTTTATTTCTGGTTTAGGGAAGGCAGCCTGCCTAGAGCTGCTGTGCCATGCAGGAGGACTGAATTCCCTGCTCCCCAAAGGAGGGTCCTGTCCCACTGCTGATGGAACCAGCAGCTGATGGAGCAATCTGTGGGAAGGAGCTCCCTGGGCTGCCTGTCTGCAAGTGCACCCATCTGCTCGAAATCAGACTTCCAGAGTTTGCAACAGAGCCCAGCCTGCAGCATTCTCAAATAATTCTCTGGGTTGTCATGTTTAAAAAGCAAAACTGTGGGAGAGAGGGAGTGTCCAACCTCCCTGCTTGAGCTGGGCTCCCAGAGGTTGCTCAAAGGACCGTGTTTCACTGCTGGATTCAGCCCAAGGATTTCTTTAGACAGCACAGGGTCTTTTCAGAAAGTATTTCTCCCTACAGAATAATGTAATGGGCCCTTAATCAGTGCACATGACGTGGCCATTTATCATTTGCAAGCCAAATGTGGAAAGAATTGTGATTTTATTTTGCCTTTTCTCCTGCCTCTTTCAGAGATCCCTTTTCTGCCACTTTCACGTGTGCTCTCCAGGATTTGTTCCCCAGAGGGGATGTGTGTGTGGGGATAAGTGCTCGTGACAGCACTACATCTGCACCTCACATGAAATGTTCTCATTCCTTCCCATTCCTGCCTGGAGACCACACCAGAGATGTGTTTTCAGGGAGCCAAATCTTTTAGCTGATTTTTTAAATCCCAGCTAAAGCTTGTCACTTCCCTTTGGAAAATGAGTCCATGCAGAGCAAGCTCTGGGAATGCTTTGTCCCGTGGCTTGACTTTGCACAGCAGCCCACACAAGAATAAGGAAGCTGGCAAAAAACCCTTTGCAATTTGTAAGCGCTTCACATCTACCTTAAGAAAATTATTATGAAAATTCTCTGCTCCCCTGGAGGGATTTGGGACAAAAACCAAAGGGACACAACGGGAAAAAATGCTCAGGGTTGCCATTTTGCACCAGACCTCCTCTTCTCCCTGCAGTTGCCTTCCCCACTTCCCTGTTGCTCTGATAACTCTGCTTGGCTCCCTCTGCTCCAGATAGGCACTGGCCACCAGTTAGACACCTTGGAAAATGGGTTATCCAGGAATTTCTCCCAGGGGAATGCACCAGTGTGGTACAAAGCAGCACAGGGCCTGCAGGTCAGGATCATCAGCTACTGAACAAAGCACCCAAAAAAGGGCAGGCAGGTATCCAGAACAAAGATATCCAGTAAGAAGCTTGCCTTCATCATCACATTGTGATCACCCAAAAAATTGCCTATAATAATGACAGATGAAAAAATACAGATGTCTAAATGGGATTTTGTTGCAAACAAACAAAACCAACTCCCTTTCCCTTTCCTCTCCTAATGTGTGGCATTCTGCCCTCAGCTCATACACATCTCTTTCCCTTCTCCCAGTTCCAGCTGCAATCTTTGTTGTTACTCTCAGAAAGGAAAAACAAAACCCAGGTCTCTGCTTGTCTCCAGAGCTGTGCCCTTCAAGGCAGGGTTTCATCACTCACATGCTGCTCTCCAGACAGGTGTGATCCAGACTGTGATTTTCTAAGAAAGTTGCTGAACACCGATTTTCCAGTTGCAGGTTCCCTTGGAACCATGGCTCATCCATGCAAACAACGAGTTCAGTAAACAAATGAGCTGTGAAATGATTGCATGTGAATGACACGGGCACAATAAATGGTGCTGTGTCCTTGATCACGCTGACAGTTCAACCAGGGGGAAAGGAAAGGGAGAATTATTCTCACACTCTCACTGCATCAGGCTCTCTTGGCTACAGGGAATAAAGTGCCCTGCTGCATAAAAAGGCAATCAAACTTTTTGCCTCGTGGCTCTCACAATTACATGCAGAAGGGAAATATAGGATTTTCTGTGCTGTATGTAGAAATAACCTTTGATTACAGAATTGATCGGCAAAAAGAAGTGATAGGATTTCAATAGTTAAAAAAAAAAAAAACCACAAAAAACAACCACAAAAAGCCCCCTATCATTAGAGCCGAATTTTCAACATTTTTTCTCTCTCTCCTGCAGTCTCACTTTGCTTTTTCTGTATCCAGCAATGCCTCTCAGAGCTCCTTAATGCTCTGCATGAACTTCTGAATTAAAACCTTTTATCTTAATGGGAATTCTAATCCTACCGGGACGTGTTTGCACAGCCACGCTTATCATCCCATCAAGGGGGTTTTTCCTGCTCAGGATTTCCTCTGCTTTGTACAGCACAGAGAAGTGGAGGCACCAGGAGAGCTGCCTGCTGCTGAGGAAAAGCGAGATGTTCTAGCCGTACAGCAGGCTGTTATCTGCGTTGGCAGCAGAGAATTCCCGTGGGTTTCCAACATCTCTGGCTTTGGCAGCACCTGCACGTGGGAGAGCCGAGGCAGCCTGTGAGAGCTGGCTGCCTCGCTGGATAACCCCACTGGCAGAGCTCCCTGAAATTCTGCACCGTTGTGAAGTGAGATCCTGCGACTTTTCACCATGGTAACACCCCTGTTGCTTCCCTCTGTTGACAGTGGAAGGCCTGAAAGTGGTGGAGATTGAGAAATGCAAGCGCGACATTAAAAAGATGAGGGAGGAGATGGCAGCAAGAAGCAGCAGGTAAGTTCTGCTTGGGACCCAGCCACAGGAGTAAGTGCCTGCTTTCAAACCCCAATGCAACATTTCCACAGAATTATCTCCTGGGCTTGGAAGAAAGAGAGCAAGGAAACCAGTAGTCATCAAGGAGAGTAGCTTTAATTTACTATTTGAAGATTTATAGCCATTCACCAGTTAAATTAGCTTGGGCCATGGGAATAGAGGAAAAGGTCTTGGGAGTTATTTGTCACACGGAGAACGGGAATTCTTCATCCGGATTTACTGGGGGAGAGAGAGAGAGAATGGGAAAAGAACTTCTGCACAGTGCAGCCTTCAGTTGGGAACCAGTCAGCACTCGAATCAGCTCCAGTATATTCTGGGAAATTACCAAATAAATATGTAGCAGTTCCTCTAATTATGATCTCATGCTATTATAAATCATCCGTTTCAAATTCAATGAGAAATTGGGAATTTACTTTCTAATGCAAGGGCTCATTGTGATGTTGAAGCTTGGTTTTGCTGTAATTAAAACACCAGCAGAAAAAATTGCATTTGGTATGGTGCGTGGTCTCAGCTGGAAAATGCCCCCTGTGTCACTGAAGTGCCTCACTAGGACAAACAAATCATCACTGTGAGACTGGGAATACTTCTGGGAAGGTTGCTGGAGAGGAATACCCCATGCTGCTCAAAATGTGTGTGAGGGGTTTTTTTTCTCACCAAATGTAACTATGTCTTGACAGTCTCAGGGTCAAATTGTCCGACCCTTAATCAGAACTGTTTCCTGCTGAGGGCAATGGGAGATGTGCTAAAAGATTCAGGCTTTATAATCACTCATTTTTATACATGTTGGCTTCCAGATATGTCAGGAGGCACAATGATAATTCATTCCCATGAAGTCCAAGGCCAAATTCAGCTGTCATGTTAGCATAAACGCAGAGTAGCATTATTAACCTCAGATGTGTGCCTCAGATTTATCCCAGCAGGGTGGAATGCAGTTTGCCCTGTGACTTGCACCATTTCTTGTTGGGGTGTGTGGAGAAATCTTATTAGAAAAATCCAAGCCCAGGCTGGCAGCAAATGCAAGAGCATGTGTGCTGATTTGTGCTGGGTGTGATATGAAACATGTGTGCTCATGTGTCTTTCCTTCAGCTGTGACAGGGAGCTGGCAGAGCTGAACAGTGATGCACAGGTGGACAGGGAATTAAGTCCAAAAAAAGAAGTTGTGGCAAGTTCGTGTTCATTCAGTTGCCACCACACCACATCAGGAAGTACAAGACTGTCCCAGCAGCCATGACTAATTCCCATCCCAGATCCTGTCACCTTCCAATCTATATTTTGTGGCCTAAACAACAACCTGTTAACAAGAAAAGCTGGAATGGGGGGGGTGTTCCATCTGCTCAGAGCAGCCAGCTCCAGCTGGGGTGTCACCTTCACTAAGGGCTCATAGTGAGATGTGACAGGCTCCAAAAGCCAGAGACCAGCACGGGGTGTGAGGCTGGAAAGCTGTGGTAAAGATGGGTAAAGATGGGTGTGGGCTCAGCTGGGCACAGACACCCACCCTGGTTTGTTCTGAGCTCACTCAGCTGCTCTCGCTGGAGCAGGAGCGGGACTCGCTCTGCTCAGCATCACTTTGGTGCTGTGTCCATAAGGCTGTGTCACAGCTCCTCTTGCTTACCCTGAGCTGCATCTCCCTCCTCCCAGCTGCTCAAAAGCTCCTCCTGCTTGCCCAGAATTCTGCCCATGGTTATCTGCACCCTGTGGTGTTGGGACCCAAAGCAGCAGCTAGATGTGGACACAAGACTGAGGAGAGGACGCTCCTTGGTGGCTCCCATCAGGAGCTGCTGAGGAATGGGCTGAGGTTCCTTATTCCCAAGCCACCACAGCCCCACAGCAGCCAGGCCACCAGCCCAAGGTGACCCCAGCCTAGGGATGCTTCACCCCAGGGTGGCTGAGCAAACCCTCTCCCACTGGCATGGGGGATGTGGTGGAACAAAGGCATTCCAGGGAGGTGGAAATGTGTTTGCTCTCATTCAGACCTGTCATCCATTGTGTCATTTGCTAGATAATGCATTGTGGTTGCAATTAGGGATCCCACCTAAATTTAATTAATGTACATAAATATGTGTGAGTGCCTGTGTTGTTCAATAAGATCGCAGTGTACACAGCTGTATGGATATTTACCTGTTCTTTTATTTGCTGTTACATTACCAGATGAGAGAGTAAGGCTGAGCAGCCAGGCTTATAAAAACCATCCTGCACAGTGAACTGTGCATCCCCTTCTTTAGAAGAGCAAACCATCTCCATTTGCATCCTCCTCAAATTGCATTTTTTTTTTTTTGCTTGTCTGCTTTTCGCACTCACCACTGGCAGATGCTAATAACATTATGGTGTCATTTAAAATCATGATCATTTGCAGATACAGTTTTACATTTGTGAAGGTCTGATGCATCCTGGCTCTGGTGTGTTCCCCAGTGTGCTGGGATGAAGGCTTCAATATCCTTCTACATCTGGGAATTAGAGATAGCTGGCTGACCCTCAGCTAACCCTGGCAGTCAGCTCCAATTAGGGCAAGGAATGCCCCAATCTCACTATTTTTATCCTACTAATACCCCACACAGTGGAGTTTTGAGGAAACAGCTTTAGAAACGATTAAGACAGCTTTTCACCAACTGAGAATCTCCTTAAACAGGGCAGGAAAAGGCAGCTGGTTGAAGTCAGCTGACCACCATGAGCTGTAAAATGACATAACTTTCACAGGATTCAGACAGTGACACCAGAAATGACAGCAGATATCAATGTTAAGAGGAGAAAAGAGACCTGGACTAATTCCCAACAGAGAAGAGACTCACTCAAAAGAGATACAATGCAAAATTTAATAATCAAAAATGCACAAACCGAGTTAATGGAATGCTTTGCTTGGCTTCTTTCAGGAGGTTTCTTTTTGATTCCTTTGGCAGGGGGCTTGAAAACTGAGAGAGGATAAGCTGAATGTTAGAACTGCAGGAATAAATCCCTGGAAGTGCTCAAGGCCAGATTGGATGGGGCTCTGAGCAACCTGACCTAGCGAGCAGCATCCCTGCCCACGGCAGGGTGGGTGGAGCTGGATGATTTTTAAGGTCCCTTCCAACCCAAACCGTTCCATGACTCTACAAATGCAAAATACAAGAAGATCAGCCTCACACAAGAGTTAATAAAGGCCATGTGGACAGCTGCCTGAGAAAAGCCCTGCAAGGCCACCGAGTCCAGCCTGTGACTGATCCCCACCTTGTCCCCAGCCCAAGGACACGGAGTGCCACACCCAGTCCTTCCTTGGATACCTCCAGGGATGGGGACTCCAAACTTCCCTGGACAGCCCCTTCCAGTGCTTGACCACCCTTTCAGTGAAGGAATTCTTCCTGATGTCCAGCCTGTCCCTCCCCTGGCACAGCTTGAGGTCATTTGGGAGAAGAGCCTGACCCTCACCTGGTGGCAGGGAATTGGAGGGAGTGATAAGGTCCCCCCTGGGACTCTCCTCAGATGGGAAAGCATCAGCTTGGCTTTTCCATACTCAGAGGAAAGAAGAGTAGATAATTGGCAGTGTTAATAACCAGGCAAGTGTTAATTACCTGTAATTGCTGGCAGTGGCTCCCTTCCTCCAGGATCAGAGGTGTCTGCCAAGTCCATGCCTCTCTGCTGCTGTCCCAGGTGGAGGACAGCTGGCAAGGAGGTCACCCCATCAAAGTGGCAGCTCCTGTGGGCTGCAGCAAGGCTCAGTGGGTGCCTTCAGCAGTAAATCAGCACGGGTGTGCCCGTGCCCAGAGCCAGCGCGGTCCCTGGCAGCCAGGAGAAGGACTCCTGCCATGGACAGCAAACCGCTGGCTGGAAGTTACTTGGTTAAGGAGAACTGGTTGGGTATCCATGGATACATGGCTGAACTCAGATGCCTCTCTCTTGAATGCAAATAGGCCAGGAAAGGGCAACAGGGGTGTTGCACAAGGGGGGAAAACCCTAAGGAGGATCACTCACGCTTTCAAAAGCATTTTGAAAGGGAAAGGTTGTGGAGTGGGGTGGTTCTCTGAGGAGTGGCTCCTGGGAGACCAGAGCACTTCTGGCACTTTTTGAAGAACTGTGCTTCCGCTCTCTCAATGTTAAGAGATGAATATTTCATTACAGGACTAACTGTCCCTGCAAGTACAGCTTTTTGGATGAAAACAAGAGGCCAGCTCCCCGGCGGGATGTACCATCCTACCCAAAGGTACCACACAATCCTTGCTCTTTCCACGTTCCTCCTGCATGGCTGCCATCCTGACAAGTGCTGCTCTACAATGTGTGACTCCTTAGCCATTAATTCCTGGTTATTCTAAATCCAAGGTCTGATCCAAAACTCCTGTGAGCCAGTGGAAAGAGCTGCCAGTTGCCCACGGTGACTTAAAGTTTAATTCTCAGTAGTCTTTAGTACTTGAAAGCTCATTAGTGTTTGAAATGTTAATGAACATTGTGCATTCATCAACATTTAATGCTCTTTTATCTAGTTGTATTTGTTTATTCTCCACGTTCATAGCAACAATCAAAAACACCCTGTAATGCCATGTTCTGATTGAAAGTAGTGCTGCTGCCTGTTTTCTCCTAATAGATTATTTTTTAATTTAAAAAGTAATTTATGGGGATGCTTCACCTAGGGAAACAAAGAGAAAATGCGACATTGGATTCTCTCCAAAATGATTCATTGTCCCTGTGAAAATGAGTTAGTGTATTTGCTAGAGAAAACAGTAATGCTGGAAGAAAAATGCCTCCTGGGCAAGTACAAGTACAAATCCACAGTGATGAATGAGGCTGAGACCATGAAGAGCACAGAGTCTTTGGTCCCAGAACCAGCAGTCTTTGCCCACAAGAATTATTAAAAGCTGCCTGGTTATGCCTGCCCAGTGCCCAGCTCAGACGTTGGTGGAACACCAGCTCACACATTTGCAAATCATGGTTTAACCATGGCACCTCCTTGCACACACCAAAGCTGTCTCAGCCACCCTGGATCCTCACCGTCCTGTGTGATGCAGATGCATGACGTGGACATGGCTCTGTGCACATTTCTCTTCAGAGCCCAGCAGAGCAGTAAATTCTGCTGTTTGTTCTGCTCTGCCTCACAGAAGTGACCTGCACTGAAGCAGAGACTTTATTTAATTAACTGTTGCCCAGGAGGCTTGTGCTCCTGACACTAGCACACCATTTCACAGAACACATCAGTTCCAAGCCAGTTTTTTTCCCTTGATAAGTATATATGTCAGATTAAACTTTGATGGATTGCTGCATTAGGATCTTGAATTAAGAATAAAGAGTTGCACTGACCCACTGTAGAGTAAACTGGGAGTTTGTATTTCTGCATTATTCCTAAACCAAAACTCATGGGAGTCTGGGGTTTTGGAGATTTGCAAAATTTGTTATCAGTTGTCAGGTGCTGGATTTCTCCAGTGTCAGTGAGGCTGAAGGAAGATGTCACTGCAACACCAAATCTAATCTAATTAGCAGTTTTCTTGCAGAAAATCACATTAAATGTGCATTGTGTATGCAAATGCAAAACTCCTTGCCTTCAGAAGAAGAAAAATTAATCTTCTGCGTTGTTCCTCCTTGGATTAAGCATCAAACAGTTTGATGGCTCAGAAATTGTCATTCACCTGCTCAGGAGAGTAAACCCAGATTAGAGACAGCCATGGTAAATGGACCAGTTGAAGGCACAAGGTTTTTGAGTCACAAAACCACTGATGAATATGATCCTGAAAAGATGAATCTGTAGAGCCCTGATATCCCCATGTCCTTTAACCCTGCACATTCCTTTTCATTTTGTGTACAACCATAACTGGTGAATGAGCTTGATTTTGTTTTAGGCTTCTGAGCGTAATGATAAAAAATCTCTTGAATCTTGCAGGCTGACAACCAATTTGAAACTGTAGGCACTCTTGAAAAAACACTCGAAATGAGAGCATAAATCATCTGAAAATAAACATATCATCCCCACCAGCTAATTTAGCACTGTAAGCAGAGACACTTCACACCACCCTCCCTAACTGGCAGCTTGGAGTGCCGCTGATGCTCTGCAGGCAGCAGAACCAGCACAGCCAGGGATGGGCCTGTGCCCTGTGCCTTTGATTCCCTGTGCTGGATTTAGCCATGACCCTTTCCCTAACACCTCCACTCTCCCTTTTCCCCCAAGTTCTGCTCCTCAAGGATCTGCCCCAAAGAGCAGCTGCCAGGAAGGCTGAGGAGGGTTGGGTGGCCAGAGGGAGAGATCGTTTGCTCTCTGCTTAGGAAATGTGGCTAAACCCCTCGTGAATGGAACCCTGAGAGCCCCAAGGACATGCCAACAGCATTCCCATGGCAGGGACACCCTTGTTTACACCTCCTGCCTTTCTGTCTGCAGTACATGCTGTCCCAGGAGACCATCGAGGCTCTGCGGAAACCAACCTTTGATGTCTGGCTGTGGGAGCCCAACGAGGTGAGGATGCCACTTGAGCTGGGTTGGCACTTTCTGAGAACCAATAAGGCCAGAACAGCCCTCTGAGACAGTCTGCAGGGTTTTCCCCTTTTTCTGCCCCTAACTCTCTAATTTTTATTTTTTTTTTAATTTCCATACCACCATCCATACCAGAAATACAGTGCTTTTTCCTAGCAGATGCCAGGTAGATTATGCTGTTTATCATATCCTGGCTCCTCTTTATTTGCTCTTTAATCTCTTCCTAGGAAAGTCCCTCAACTGGTGCACTGTCATTACTGCCACATGAGTTCTCTCCAACCATTTTATCTGAACAAATCAATTCCCAGTGAAGTGTGTGCTTTAGCACATCATCGATAACTCCACTCAAATCAATAAAGCAGCAGGCAGAGGTGCAGGCATTGATTCACAGCCCTTCAGCTGAGGGTTTTTTTCTGCAGCTTGTTCTGAAGAGGTTGCAAGGCTACAGTCACAGCCAATTAGTATCTCCTTATTGCTTCATTTTCTTCCTTTTCTTACTGCTATTAGTGTTATTCATGGTTCATCACTCCTACTGCAGAAGATTCTGGAAGGTCTATGTGTAAACCTCTAGAAGTGTGAAGGAGAAGGATGTTAAGAATGGACATCTTATAATATAATGTAAAACCAGATTTAGCAAATACTAGCAAATCTCACTTATGAAAAATGTAATGATGGACAGGACTAAACCAGGGGTTTAGTGCTGTTTATTTTTTTTTTTCCCCAGAGGAAGGCTTGAGTAGTTCTGGAAGCAGCCCCAGCAGCAATCACTGTAATTACCTTCTCAGAGGTTGTGCATGCAGAGTAATTCTGGCTCAGCATGCCAAGGAAAAACACCCTGTACCACATCCACAGGAACAGCACATTCCCTTCAGGATGTTTCCTAGGTCTGGAAGAACAACAGAAGGGCTCTCTGATGGCTTTAGGTCCATCTCCCATTTGCTGAGGCTGGCAGAGCTTCCCTTGTGTGGTCAGAGGTGCTGTGCAGCCCTCTCCAGCCCCTTTTCTCTGCACCGTGGCCATAAATGCCTGCCAGGTCTCTGCAGCAAGAGGGAATTACAGTCTGACAGGTGCACCATAACACCACTGGATTATTGTTCTTCTGACCATTAGGAAAGAATGAGGACAGACAGAACCCATTATCCACGGTTTGCTGTGGGCTGGGGGATGGTTCTTCAGCACAGTAACTCGTTCAGAAGGCTAGGAAACATTATATGGTGGCATGAGCAAGGCAAGCAGGAGGTTGTGGAGATTAAACTTGCCCTGCAAGGAAGAGTCTGCTCAGAAATGAGATTCCACACAAGCTGTGGTGAGCCATATGGGTTTATCTCGCCCTCTTAGCTCTGCTCTATGTTTACAGAGAATATTTCAATTCTGTCAGTGCTTGTTTAGCACTGAGTGTTTGCCCGCATGCCCAGTGTGGGACAGGCAGGTCACAAACCTCATCTGTAAGCAAATGAATAATGTGCTCTGCTGCATCTCAGTAAACACAGCTTTGCAGCAAGCCTGGATTCTCCTTCTCAAATGCCCTCTCACTTTTCAAGCCTTACAAGAGTCCCATAGTCCAGCTTTTGTTGCTGATCAAGAAAGCTAAACGTGAAAACTGAGATTCTCCAGCTTTCAGGGGCAGGAGTTTTGGGACTGAGAGTCACCTCATCACTCACCCAAAGCTCTCTTGGCAACAGCTGCATTTCTAAGGGTAATTCAGCACTTCTGGATAAAGTTCATTGTCATGGAAAGTCTTTTATGGAACTATTGCAAAACATATATTCTACCAGGACAAGGGGATCTTCAGCAAAATGTTGTCTGTGTGATCTGAGCAGAATTCAGCTCATGGCATTGTCCCTTAGGTCTTGCAGGAAAGTCTCATGCTCTTTGGATTCCTCAAAATCAGCCCTGTTGTTACTCCATGACTTATATTTATTCCCTGGATAAATAATAAGGTTTCATTAAATTAAATCACTTTTTTTTTCTGGTGAGTTTCTAAGAGCCTAAATAACAGAAAACTAACTAGAAATGCCTCCAGGGCTGTATTTGTGAAATTATACTCATCATGTTGAAACCCCTGGCTCGCTTTACAGTCTAAGAACTGCATCTTCTAACACAATGGCCACATTCCATCCCCTGCAGATCTAGCCTTCAGAAATGGGAATGCATACACACATAACCTCCTGAACTCTGGGAAACCTGTTCATTTCTGACTGGTGGAAGCTCTTAAGCACCCAAATACTCGAGATTATCAATATCTTTCATTTGCAATCCTTTCAAGGTGATTAAACGTGAGGGTTGATGCTAAGCTATCTGCATCCCCCTTGCTACTGCAGAGCAGGTGTTGTCTCAAAAGAGCTGCCTGCCCTTGCATTTCAGCATAGTTACAGTCTCCATGAGGGGATAATCACAAAACTGCTGCAGTTTTGTAGGGTTATAATGGGAAATCTTTTAAACAAGAAATATGAGCTAAGATAGCAGAGTTAGGAGCTCACAAGAAGTCATAAAGGAAGAAGGTATTGACAAATGTCTGAAATAAATGTTTCTTTAGGGATCTCTTATTTTCTGCTGTAATTTTCTATTCAGCTGGAGCCTGATCCATTTCTGTACAGCCAGGGAAAATCTCCCACTGGTTTCATTGAGCAATAGGACACATCCCAGCTGAACTAGAAAAATGGCAATACTTTTCTTGTGAGCAGGAATTGCTGTGAAGCACACGAATCACAATTTCTGGAGAGTGCTGGTGTGATATGCAAAGCACAAAACCTGTGAAGTCAACAGCAGCGTGTCTGCTTCAAAAAGCTTTCAGACCCTCTCTGTCTCCCCTCTTGCACTGCCTTTAATCATGCAATCTTTGAACATCTTTCTTTCATCTAAAGAGGGCTCTGCAATCATTTGATGATTGCAAGGGGGAAATTCACTTCACAGGGTATCCTCAAGGGATATTTACAGAGCCAACAATAACCTGCCTGTTCCTGGCTGCAGATGCTGAGCTGTTTGGAGCACATGTACCACGACCTTGGGCTGGTAAAAGACTTCAACATCAATCCCATCACGTTGAAGAGGTGGTTGGTGAGTATTTCAAGTCACTGGTGTTTGCAGTTTTTCACATTCAAAAATCAATAAATGAGGCATTTAGTCATGGAATTTACATGATTCGCATGAATAATCCCAATGAAAGTGCTCAGTCTATACAAATTCTTAAGATTTGAGTACCTCAGAAATTGTTTGCATTCTTGTGGTCACAAATGACTCTTTTTTAACTGTTTTGTGTTCATTTGCTGAGGTTTCTATTACTGAAAGCAGTTTATTTCTGCTGAATGCTCTTGGTACCTACTGTAAATGGAGGCAAGACAAGTGCCTTCAGATACAGCTAAAAAGGACCAATGTGTGCAATAATCAATGTACTAAATCACAGGGAGTAGAGAAAAGAGCAAGTCAGGAAGGAAAAGAAATTGCTGAGAAGGTAACTTTCTTTGCTTCAGTCTTTGATGTGAGAATGCCGCAGAGATGCAAAATGTGAGAAAGATGAGATCATACCAAAAGTGAGATTTCTAAGGAAGAAACACTGGAATATTTAAAAAGCAATGAGTTTTCAGGTCTAAGGGAGAGCATAAGAAAGTGTTTGCTAGAAAGTAAAGAATATATTTGCTTTCTTGGAAAAAACCCATCATGTTCCTAGAGAACTGTAGAACAGTAAATAGTTTAACCATTGTTTGAAAAGCATCCAGGGATAGCCTGATGGATTATAACTAGTAAAAACTTACCTCTGAGTCTCACAAATTGATTGAGACAATAATTAAAAATGTCATGGTGTGAATTCACCATACAGATGTTTCATAGCATTCCTGTACTAAAGACTTATATCTCATAAATCTCTTTTAATTTCCTGAGGAGCGTGCAGAGAGTAGAGGGCACTGTTTTAGATGGATATAGACTCCTAAAAAATGTCACAAAATCAGGAGATAGCTGGAAAAGGCAAAGAAAAGACTGGTTCATCATGTGTTACTGTACAGCAATGGCAGGAGGCACATGGGGCTGCTTGGTGTCCTGCTGCAGGAGGGACACAACGAGGCTCAAGGCTGAGCAGAGCCTGGAATAAGGAATAAAATGTCACCACAGAAGGCAGGAGGCTCACCTGAAATTTATTCCCAGCACTGGTGAAGTCTTTTTAGAAAAATAATATGACTGCATTAAAGGAGACACCAAAAATGATCAAAAGCTGGTGAATCTCTCTCTCCGAAGAAGGCAAATGAAAAGCTGGGTGGTGCTGACCTTATAAAGCAGCTGAAGACAAGGGGTGGGATGAAACCCAACACAAACAAGGGGAACACACTGTAGACAAACCAGAAGATCTCCTCCTCCTGTTTCACAGCCCGAAAACATGGGAAGCAAGGTGATATGTCAACACACACCAACAGCCCACCCACACACACTGCTGCAGGCAGCTTCCCCTCGCTTGTGTCTCCAAGCAATTTGTCACCACTAACATTTCAGACAGCCTCACTCTGAGCTGCAAAAGGGGAGTTTGTTGTGTATTTTCTACAAGGGTAAGACAGGGTGAGGTCTCCTATCTTCTTGCAGAAAGAAAGATGATTTTTAAAAGCCTCAAGGGCTCTGCTCCCAAGTGGGATACTTCCCCCAGGCACAGTATGGGCATCACTTTGAACTCAAGTGGGAGAGAAAAAGCCACCTCATGCTTATCCTGGCTTTCTTGCTCCCACATCCACTGGCTACAGAAGCCTTCCAGAAAGAGGAGAAGAGTGATTAATGCAACCCAGTCACTCCATCCCTTCAGTGCTCTGAGTCAGGAGTCCCCTGGGATGCTCTGGGCTCCAGTGTTGGATGTATACATTACATCCATGCAGTTTTGTGCAGTGCCACGGGTGTCCATGTGTAGGCTGTGAGATACTCACCACCTGTGAGCCTGGCTGACAACCATATTGTGTCATTCATGTCATTTTAAAATGATGGGATGTGTTTCTAAAATCCTTGCTGCAGAATAATCTGTGCAGCTTTTGCAATGAAACCCACAAAAACTGAATAAGCATTGAAATACCACACTTCTCTTAACCTCATCTGGAGCTTTGAGGTTGCCTAGAAGATGGGTTAAAATGTTTGGTCCTGATGGGGTGTGATGACTGCTGAAGTAAATTCCTGATTTATCTGGGGAAGGGGACAGGAATTCTGTCCATGGCATTAATTCAGGATCAGGAACTGAAGCATGTGCGTGAGGGCTCTCTGGGGTCCAGGCTATGGAGGATTCAGCAGAGGGGTCCAGCAGTGCTGCTGACTCTTGGCTGCTTTGTGAAGGACAGGAAACCAGAGGAACATTGGAATAATGTGTTAACCCAGCTGTGCCAGCCTCCCTCAGCCAGCCTGGCTGGCACTAGCCAGGACACAGGGACAGACAGGCTTTATCCTGCCTGTGCAATGTGGCCAACCAAGCCAGGATCTGTGGGAAGTTAAACCACACAGCAATAGCTGCTGTCAGCCCATAACAGCACGATCTCTCCCAGGCTGACTGGCATGGAAAACCCACCCAGTGTCCATTCACATCTTCCCTTTGCCAAGCAACAGGTCCCAAAGTGCCACCCCTGAGCACTGGCAAGTGAAATGCCACGTTTCATCTCTCAAGGTATCAGAGCTGCAGTTTGTGCTCAGCAGGAGAGGGGGACAGGGCTGGGCTCTGAGCCCTTTACAGTCCCCAGAGTCACCATTTAGCCACTGCAAGGTTTGAAACTCAAATTCAGCAGAGTTCTCTCTTAAGGACTGGGATGCAGCTGTGCTGGGATGTTTGCCCATTGCTGGCTGGTATGAGAGAGGATTTTCTGTGAGCTTTACCTGCTGGTGAATTCTTGGAACACACAAATCTCACCCAGGAAGGCAGAAAGTGTCAGAGGCCCTGTGCTGTCACTCTGTCCTTGCAGAGAATAATCCTGGGCCCCAGAGGACTCCTTTAAGGACACACAGTGCTTGGTAAACAGCTCTGCTGCCTCTGACAGCTTCACTCCCTCTCTCTGCAGCTGTGTATTCACGACAATTACAGAAACAACCCCTTCCACAATTTCCGGCACTGCTTCTGCGTGACCCAGATGATGTACAGCATGATCTCACTCTGCAACCTCCAGGTACGACCCCCTCTCCAGGCCACCACTCCATTTCCAGCCTGAAACCCCAGCCACTTCTCCTGCAAAATGGGCCACCAGCCTGCTGGCAAGTGGTGGCCTTTGGGGAGGCTGCACTTGCTCAGTCCCCGGGCACACGAGGAGAGGTGCTCATTTCCACCTCTGGCTGCCCAGCCCTGACCCCAAGCACCTGCACAGCTTTCTGAGGCTGTGGGGAGGTAACTTCACCTCCTGGATGTCCACAGCTCCTACTGTGATGGAGTGAAACATTTAGGAATGACAGCCAAACCCCTACCAAATTATGGTCTGTGGGTATGTTCTTCGTTTGGGACACAAAATGTTCCCACAAGAGGTTTTCTGCAAAGGTGTGCTTTTACCTGTGTTTGTGCTGTGGCCTGGCATGTATTGTATGCAGGACACATATTTGACCTTTATTTTGTCCAGAACCATAAGCATCAATTAATTTTACTGTCTGGGTAACCTGCACTCATATATTAATTTAATTTCTTTTAAAAACTGGGCTTTTTTCACTTAAAAAAAGAAAAAAACAACATTTTTCTCCATAGTTACACATATCAGTTACTGGCCTAAGTCTGTTTTCTTGCCAGTAGCAGTATGAAGAAAAATTTGCTTTAATGTAAGTCCATGCTATTCAAAAGCTGTGGGAACACAACATTTAATATTTCTTGCTCTTTTCCCAACTTTAGTTAATGCAGAATGCAATGGCAACAGAGCCATCTTCCAGCCCTCCCTTTAACTAATCAGGGTGCTCAAATGACTTGTAAGAGACTGTACTAATATCTCAGTGCTTTTATATGATCTCTGCTGTAATAGCAAATTTCAAGGAAATTGCCTTCTCTGAGCTGCTGTTATTTAATGAAACAAAGGCAAATCTGAGTCATTTTTACTGGAAGGGAAGGCAGATTTCTCTTTCATGACTGAAGTAAATTCATCTAAGGAAAAATGCTTCATTTTGCTCAGATTTGCATTTCTCTAAAAAGTAAATATGTCTGGTTTCTTTATTTCTTTTAATTTACAGGGGTAGGGGAAGTAGAAATCATAATACTACATTCATGTTTTCTATTTTACAGGAGAAATTTTCCCAAATTGACATTTTGATTCTCATGACTGCAGCAGTGTGCCATGACTTGGACCATCCAGGCTATAACAATACGTGAGTCTGTTCTCTTGCTTTCTCTTCCCTTAAAATCTATTGGGAAGGTAACACTGCTTGGCATTTTTTGGCAGATCAGGTTTTCCTTCTCACAGCCTGACCTTTTCCCAAGGTCCTGCTGGTCACTCACGTAGGCCAAAGCAGAGCTCAGGTCTGGGTCAGGGTTTGCCATCTGTCCTTGGTTCTGTAAGGAAAATAGTTTTTTTCAGATTTCTATTTGAACACTTTTCCCCCCCAACTCCTGTGACAAAAGGTGAAATACTTTACAGCTGGTAACAGAGCTATGAATTATTATAATGGAATAATTACAGTAAAATGTAAAGGAGGATTTACCTTACACTTTATTTCATAATTATAAATCCTAAAGTGTACTTTACTGTTTATTTTCATGTGAGGAAATTATTGCTGTTGGCCCACGGATACTTTTGTGTGCCTGTGAAAGAAAGAGAATCTCTTTTATTTGTAACCATTCATTAAATGAGGGCAGAACCCAGTTCTGACTGGGATCAGTGAGAATCTCTGCATTTGCCATTAGTGGGGGTTGAATTAAACCTAAACAGTTCCTTCTGGTTTTGTTTTGTGTCATTTTAAACTAGAAATGTGGTAAAATTTAAAGGAAGAAAACCCATTTGGGTAAATGTTCATCCACTGAGGGCAATCAGCACCTGAGATTACATTAAAGTAATATCTATTTTCTCTGAAAATCTGATTTAATACCAACCACCAAAAAAACCCAAAGCTGCAGCTAATTGAATAAACACTGAAAAGAATGTAAGCAAGAGGAAGCAGCATGGTTTGGAGCAGCTGGCAGGTGTCTGCAGGAGTTTTTTCCTCACGGCTCTCCCTGCCCTCAGCTACCAGATCAACGCGCGGACGGAGCTGGCCGTGCGCTACAACGACATCTCCCCGCTGGAGAACCACCACTGCGCCGTGGCCTTCCAGATCATCTCCCAGCCTGAATTCAACATTTTCTCCAACGTGGACCAGGACCAGTTCAAACAGATAAGACAGGTAGGAGTGCTGCTCCTGCTCACGCCGTTCCTGAGGCCGTGAACACGCACGGGCTGTCCTGCTCCAGGGTGAGAGTGATTCATCCTCCCCGGAGGACACGGCTCAAAAAGCCCCTCGTGCTGGAAGGATCCGAGAGGGATTCTTGGAAAATTTCCACAGCAGCACTCCCTGGAATGTGTTGCTGAGGAATAATGAGTACATCCTGACTATTCAAGCCTATGACATTCTGGGGGTAGATATTTATATTGTTGGAGGAGCCAATTAGCTCTGACTGGGGAAGGATTAAGCTCTCACGGCAGAACTTTATGCTTTAAGGGAACACTGTATTAAATTTTAAGAGGGGCTTCAAAAGGGGAAAAGATTTGCAACAGCAGAGCACTTGTACTGTTGGAAGAGGCCCTGGTGCACTGGGAGTCCTCACAGTTATCTCTGAGGCAATGAACAATGTTACATTTCCCATTAGGGCTCTAAGGGCCAAAATTCAGTCTTAACTTGCACTTAACACCTTCCTTACACACCGAGTGAAGAAGCAGTAAAAGGGCTGCTTGGAGTTCCTGATTCTGCCAGTCTGTGGGAAACTGGCACGGGCCCAAACTGGACTGTTCTGTATGAAAACCCACAGCTTTAAATTAACCACGTTTTCCCATCATAAACTGCACAGAAGGAGGATACAGAGCAAAGCCCTTAATCCAAAGAGGATGGGCACTGCTGGCATTCACATCATGGTTTTTGTCTCAGGGCCGCTAAGAGTCAACAGCAAAACCCACAGCGCCTTCCAAGGAGATGAAGGTGGATCTTGGCAGCCAGAGTGTGGCTTTCAACATCCTGTTGTACAGTTTGCTTTTCTACAATTAGTCAATCAAAAAGGAAAAACCTCAGGAATATCACATAAAACCATGATCCTCATGTACCACAAACTCTCTATAACCCTTTTCCTGTTTCCTTGGCAGCTCCAAGTCAGAAACTTCCCCTTCCAGCATGAGCAATTCAGTGCATCTGAGGCATTTTGTGTGCAAGACAGACCCTACTTGGCTCAGCAGCAGCAGACTTTGTAAGGAATGTCAAGTTAATATGTGAACATGTTTTCTTTGCTAGGGGATAATTACGTTAATCCTGGCTACAGACATGGCGAGACATGCAGAAATACTGGACTCTTTCAAGGAAAAAATGGAAAACTTTGATTACACAAATGAAGAACACATGACCTGTGTAAGGAGGTTTTGTGGATTGTTATTTTTCTGTTCATGGAGTGAAATCTTGTCGATTTGTTTGTTTAAAAACCAAGATTTAGTATATATTTTCAAAAAAGTATCCTTCCTATATTCCTATATATTTCCCCACCAAAAAATAATTAAATTGTGGAAGTGCTCTATATTAAATAGAGCATAACATATTAAATTCCAGCTTCAGAAATCCTGAAGTCCCATCAGAAAAATATTTTTTTTTCTATTACAAATAGAATAGGCCACAAATTCTTATCGTCCTTTACTGTGAGGCAAAAAAAAATCCATAAGGGTTAACTCTCTTGTCTCCTCTATTTCCCAGTGAAGTTGATTTTGATTTCCAGGGGAATATTTTCCCAGCTGCCTCTGAGTGTTCCAGAAAAAACTTAATGGTCACTTGTGACTGAATCTGTTCACGCAGCAGCAAAGTCCACGTCCCACTGTGACACATCCCAGTGCTGCAGAGGGGGGAAACCAAGGCAGAGAGGGGATAAGTGATTTACACAGAGCAACTGAGAGAGGGGAAGAGGATCCAGATTGTTTAAGACCTCTGGTTTAATCCTGAAATTGTCCTTTCTGGTTGAAAGCCTTGCCTCCCAGTTCTTTGGAAGGACAGGGGTTGTGGACAGGGGGAAGAGGGCTAGCTTTAGGACTGCAGCATTAAAGTGTAATCCTCTTTCAGCTGAAGATGGTGCTGATAAAATGCTGTGACATCTCCAATGAAGTCCGCCCGATGGAAGTAGCAGAGCCCTGGGTAGATTGCTTACTGGAGGAGTATTTTATGCAGGTAAGAGTGAGGGAGAGACGCAATTGCACGATTTCACAATTTTCTGCTATTTCCAAATCCTGCATGTGCTTCACTGTCTGTCAGCCCAGTCCAGTTCAAGCTCTGAACTACCTGGTTTAGTGGAAGTTTTCCTGCCCATGGCAGGGGGTTGGAACTGGGTGATCTTTAAGGTCCTTTCCAACCCAAACTATTCTCTCATTCCATGGAAAGCTTCTATTACAGAAAGTCAGAGAAGGATGCCAGCAAAAGAACCTGCTCAGTAAGCAAGTGGATGCAACTGATTTTTTCTTTTAATCATTAGTAAAGAAGAAGACACAATTTCTGGTTGAATACCTGAAAATAATCAATCTCAGGAGAACGATGAGGAAATCACAAAACTATTCCTCCTCTTTGAGAGCAGCAAGAGCCATTACCAGCTTTCTGAATGCTCTGATATATTTTACCTCATAAGTCCAGTGGGTTTGCAAAGAGAGTCAGCCACCCTATAAGCCTGGAGGTGAACACTTTGATGCTGGTGCTGAGCAGAAACAACTGAACAGAATTCTCTTTATTCGGCTGTTGCTCTCCACAAAGCAGAGACATTGGCCTGAGGGAAGCACATCACTATTCTGTGCTATCTTCAAGCACCTCTGTGGTCTGTATCTGAGGGCTACTGATCTGCTAAATCACTCTCCTCACAGCCTCCTAGGAAGGATTAGTATTTGTTTTCTCTGGGTTTGTTCCAGAGTGACCGTGAAAAATCCGAGGGGCTCCCAGTGGCACCGTTCATGGACCGCGACAAAGTGACCAAACCGACGGCACAGATCGGATTCCTCAAGTTCGTCCTCATCCCCATGTTCGAAACAGTGACCAAGGTAAAGTCACCCAGGGCCAGAAACCAAAGAGAGGGAGAGCAGAGCTTCAGTGCTTGCCCCACCAGGTGTTTAGTTATCCCAGGAAATGGGGATGTACCTTCCACACCCTGCCCGCTACCCCGTTTTCAGCATGTACGGTTAAATAATGCAGCAAGTGAAGGAATGCAAGAGGAAATGCTGATATTCTTTCTCTTGTTTCCACCTAGCTATTTCCAGAAGTGGAGGAGGTGATGCTCCAGCCTCTGTGGGAATCCAGGGACCACTATGAGGGGTTAAAACAGATAGATGATGCTATGAAAGAGGTAAAACTCCAATTATCTCCTTGATACAGCAAACATTATAATTGAATAAGCCAAACATTATAATTAACAGCAGTTTAATTCTGAAACAGTGGGAATGCTCTTGGCATAATCATTATCCTGAGAAACACATTCATTACACCAGGCTGGAGAGAGGTGTGTGCCACAGACAGTAAAAACATGTCCTTGCAGAGGCCACCAGGAGCCACACAAGTGTGTACACGGGAAAGGAGCTGCTTGAGAGGCACAGACCCCAGGGATCACCCCCTGAAGGGAGCACATTGGCAAACACCTCTCCCTGGAGGGATCTGGCCTCCCTTGAGAAGGAATTTGCCTGGGTTACACTGCAGCAAAATGTTCTGGGGTTGGGCAGTTCAAGGCTCTGCGGCACCAGTGCATGAGTGTATTTTCTGGGAAGGAACTTCCAGCCACATGTGTGACATCAGGGATGTGCTTGGAATTTTATGAGGAATCACTCTGTCATGCAAAGCACCCAGGAGGGTTAAACACACAACCAGAGAAGCCCTGTACAGAGCATCTCTCATTTTGTAAGGCTCAGGGGAGGTGGGAATTCCAGGTAACAGCATTTGCTGTCTCTCAGCATGTCTGCTTTGCCTTGGGAGCCTGGCAGGGCAGAGACCAGTGCCCAGGGCAGCAGTCAGAGTGCTGGTCCAGCTCCCTTCAGCCTGGGACAATGCTCCTGCCCTCCTTTTCTTGCACACCTCTTCCAGTGCCTCTTTTCCCTGCCAAGATCCATGACAAAACCTGCCCAAATGGCATCACAGAGCAGGGAGTTTTCTGACGTGAAAAAATGCGTCATGTAGGCAGGGTACTATCAGCCACTCCAACATTAAAATAAGTTGGGAAGTGCCCTGGAGCACCAGTTGTGCTGATATTGTTTGAAATGTGGGTAATGAAGGTTCCTTCACTTGATCATCCACGAGTGGAACAGTAGCTTTGCTGTAGCTCCCGTCTCCTCACAAGTGCTTTGGAGGAAAAGCCCCTCAGCAGCTCAAGTACTGAGGCTTGTTGATCAAAGAGCACCGGCTCTGAGGGCACTAAATTTTAAAAGAGAACAGAGTCTTTTATGCATTTTTCCATTTAGACAGGAGCATTTCTCAAACGAGGGCAAAATAACCCAAATATGACTGCCAGACTTTCTGAGTCTTACTCATCTTTCAAGTTGAGCTGAGATTTTACTTCTGGTTTACAGAAGCTGTCAAAGCAGCATTTTCATACAAACTGATGGAGCTTTAATTATTGTGTATTGGCACAAGAGGTCTTAAAAAATAGGAGCTGCTTAAGTTCAGAAATATCCTGAAACAAGAGAGCTTAATTAATAATCTGAGAGCCTCGTACAATAGCTGATGAGAAAGACTGAGCTCTGTTTACCCAGGACATTCATCCAGAGCTGTTTGGATGAAACAATGCCTGTGATATTCCAAGCTGCTGCCTATTATTTCCCAGGAAATGTTGCACATGCCTTGTGGAGAGCTGAGTGTGGGACTCACAGCAGCCCTGGAAAGCAGTGCTGTGAGTGTGAGTCAGGGGGAATTAATCCTGCTCTGCTCTTCATTCCAGCTGCAGAAACAGAAAAGTGAAGGTTTGACGACCGGCAGTTCTGAAAAGTGAGACGAAACAGCCTTTGAACAAATGAACCACAAGCCTTGAGGCTGCTCTGGTTTAAGAACTGCTGTACTAGCCAAGCAGAGGTGGTGGCTACGTCAAAATCCAAGTGGGACCATAGAGGGAGAGGTGGCAGGGATGGATCCACAGCCTGCAGCCTCCTCACACAGGCGCTGCTGCCGTCGGACACCATGGGCTCCCCAGACTCTGGCATTCCCTCCACAGCCTCCTGGAAGGATTTCCCAGACTCCTGAATTCTCACCACAGCCTCCTGGCAGGGTTCCCCGGGCTCCAGCATTCCCACAACAGCCTCCCAGCGGGATTCTCCCTGCGGACACTGCCCAGGCTGCAGCACGGCTCCGACCTTCAGCGGATCTGCTTTTGGTGACCCCCGCTGCCCGCAGTCTGTAGAGACAAATCAGAGTTTAGCTAAGGAGCCTTTTCTGGGAAACAATACCCTGGCACCAGGAGCTGTTTTAGTCCAGATACTCTCTACATGTGTACAGCAGTATGCTAATCACAGCATAGCTCACCAGATGCTTATACACTGACAGGGGTCCTGGCAGACATTTTTGTTTGCCTGGTAGGCCCTAATGACACATTTCTTCTCATTATTCTCTGAATTTTATAGTGTTCACAGTACATTCAGAAGCCCAGCATAGTGGATGCAACTTTCTTTTTTTTTTTTTTTTTTCTACACTAGAAGAAATCAGAAGAAAACTTAGTGGGGTTGCAGGGTTGTTTTGTGGCCTGGTACAGCTGGACACCATGGGATCCTTCAGCATGAGCAAAGGAGGGAGCACAAAGCTGAAAAAGCCATGGTGCAAACACATTTTTATCCTTGTTGATGCAAAAAACCCAGCAAGAGACACCTTCAAAGATGTACAGATGGTTTTTTTAGTTTGTTTTTTTTTTTTTTTTTTTACTTTTAAACTGATCTGCTAAATAATATATTCTTCTACAGAAATGGGTGTTATTATTTCATTTTCTGTGTGTGTTCACATGAGAACTGTCCATGTTCCTAAAGACCAATAATGAATACAAGGTTCTACAGGAGAGGGGAGGGATGGTTTTCCTTGGAGGAGAAGCCTTAGAATTATTCCTGTGGTACACCATGAAGATCTTCAATTCCATTGATGGTTTTGTGATGGTTGGGAGCCAGGCTCTGCCTGTGTGAGCAGACAGTGCTGGGATTGATTCCTGTGCACAAAGGGAAGGCTGGAATAAACCCCCCACGAGAATCAAGCCACAGCAGTGCTGCTCACCTGGCTTCTCCCAGCTGGGAAAGGTTGTCCTCCCTGAGGGTTCCAGGCCCTGCCATGGCGTGGCTGCAGGGACCAGGGATTCCATGCATCCTGGCATGCTGGCATCCTTCCACGCTGGAAGTCACAGGCATGGATGTTGCTCAGGTTCCCCTTGGCTCCCCAAAGCCGCAGCTGGTTTGTCAGAGAGATGAGCAGGAGGGGACCAGGAAACACCTTAGGCAGCTCAGCCTCTCTGTCAGCTCTCTATTTCCAACCCTGAACAGCAAATCCTGCCTCCTGCTCTGGAAACTTGGGTTTGTCCTCCTGTTGTTTCTGCCTGTTAATCCTGAGTTTAACTCTCTTTTCTCCCCCAGTGCCATTTCCTGTGTTGGGTCTCTTTCATTTGCACAAAAGTCACTTCAGTTACTCTCCAGTCTCTCAGGGAGATCCAGATAACCTCAAAACTTCCATCCCTCTACGCTGTTCCTCCCTGGAAGTTTCCAGAGAGCCAGGACAGACAGCTGGTTCTGTCTGCTCCTGCCTCTTCCTTTAAACAGCTTTGTGTGGTTTTGGGCTTTCTGCTGCAGACTGGAAAGGGCTCTGATCCCTGGATTTGGGCAGATCCCAAGGGAAATGGAAAGATCCAAGCACAAGGTGAGCTCCAACTCACACAGACATCTTCATGAATGGATGAACTACCCCATAGTTTTGATTAACTTCAAACTTCTGATGCTTGAACCTGAATTATGTGGTTTGTGCCCTTTTCCTTTCCTAAATCTTACAATCCAAAGTACGTTGTGACCCGGATTGTTCCGCTGTGGCGTTCTTCACTACTTTTGCACAAGTAAATCGAATTTCCCGTCTCCATTCAAGTGGATTTCCGTCACAAATCAGCTCCCAGAGCAGATGAGCTGTGCAGGAGCCATGAACAATCGCTTAGGCCTTGCCAGCTCCTGCACTGAGCTGCTCACATTAGATGAGAAAACCTGCCGTACAAACTTGACTGCACCCTCCTCCCACTAGAACTCCTGAAGAGTTAGGTCCTTACAGGAAGTTTTGTTTCAGCTGGAAGGAAGGGTTTTCTCTAACCACAAACCCTAATCCAGCAAGTATTTATCCATGTGCTTAACTCCCACCAGCCTAGCCATGGACCCTGGCACAAAGGAGCTTCTTGAACAGTGCAGGCTCTTTGGCTTTCTCTGGAAACTGAAAGGATTTTTGGGAACTGATGGTTTGTTTTGGCCCCCACCATTTTTAGGAGCAACCAAAAAACTGTTTACTGGAGAGTGATGGACAAATGGCATCGATGAATCCTTCTGAATTTTTTTGGAGCTGTGTCAGAAACGTGGAAAAAGGGAATGCAACCCATCCTCAGGGCTGCAGTAGTGACTGCAGTGATGCTGTAAAATGTGCTGTGAGGGTTATTGGAAGAACAGACAACACCCAGGCTGCTTTCACAGGCAGCTGTGAAATTTAAAAAAACAAACATGTAATCACAACCAGCTAATGGTATAAATGGGAATACCACAGTATTTTTTAAATCTCACTTGTCTTTGTAATATTAAATTTCTATGTGACAGTCCTCCCAAGATATGTTTAACCAAGGGATATGCAAGGCATTCTCTCATAATTCTAGTCTCTTATGCTTTTTCCCACAATATTTAACATTATGATTCATATGCTAATTAAAGGATTTGAGAGTCTTGGCAATCAGCCCATTAAAATGTCACACATTTTCAAGGTGACATTTTAAAACCAGACTTAGCATGAGAATGAAGTTTTTTGAGGCAGGGAGACAGATGTCTCGAGTGTGATTTAATCTTTTCTCCCCCTATTCCAATGAATAAGAGTGGGTATTGTGTCTCAGTGTTGTTTCAGTTTACAGTAGGTGTCTTACAGAGACCTCTCCATGAACTCTCTATGTTCCAGCTTTCAGCATCATGACAGAGCCAGGTGCATCCCAGCCTTGCACTGCTACCCTGGACTTGTGATCAAAGCTGAACAGGAAATGGATTATAACAATTCCACACCATTTAGCTTGGGAAACTAATGATGAGCCCTGGGATTTTACTTCTTTATTTTTTTAAAGCTGTGAGATCCCACAGCCCACTACTCTGCTTTTTAGTATGGTTTGATAATCAGATCAAACTGGGGCTGCATGTCTTAGGAGAGAAACAGCTTTTTGAAAATGTGAATACCCCCACAGCAGCCAATTTACAAGGGAAGTTTAATGTCTGTTAATAGAGGAGTCCTGTAATGCCACAGGAGTGTCTGTACATGGAATTGTTCATCTCAGAGCTGCCTCTGGGCAGCAATAACAGCATCTACTCCACGTGGGAGTTTGAGCCTGCCAGGAGAAGCACTGTCATGCGGTGTTTGATTTTCCCATTTTAAACAGCAGGTTTTTGCTGCAAACTTCTCTCTAAAAACACTTGAAGAGCAAGTCTTACCTTCGTGCCTGCTCTGTGGGATTAAGAGCACATACACTGCTTTTGTTCCCCTGTCATACTGTAAAAATTTCTGTGAGAGAGCAGAGTTGGCAAATCATCTACCCCACTAATGCAAAATCTCCCTGTATTTGCCTGTTTCCCATCCCCTTGACTTACCTGTGGCTCTAAAACAAAGGAACATGCCTGTCAGGGATGGGAAACACTCAACCACCAGCCCACAGGAAGAGTTTGTATGAAAGGAGCCTCATGTAGGGCCATGCAGCTGCTGCTCTGACTCCCAGCTCAAAAGCATTACTGCCCAAGAGGTTGCTCTGGAGCCTCCTGAGCCACCCTTCTGTATGCAGCACCCTCTTCCTTGCCAACAGGATTTTTTAGTACCAGAAAAATACAGCAAGAACTTTCTGGAGTGTGTTTAAAATTAAAGAGCTTGGATGCTCTTTTTCTAGGCGAGATGGCAGAGCAGCAGGTGATCTCTCCTTTCTCTCAGCTCTCCAGGGCCATGCCTAGGCAGAAATGTTGTTTGGACTCTGAAAAAACGGGGCATTGGAGTTGTGTGTGTGAATGCTGTGATAGCACAATAAACCCCAGAAAGTTTTAATAAAAAAATCTAGATCTGCCACTGGCTTCAAATCCCTTCTAGAGCAGGTCAGCAAGCCAGGGCTTCCCTCTCCTTTCAAACAGGGAGACACACCTTGGTAAAGCACCTTGTGGTTTTTTGGATGGAAAAACCAGCAGTTCCCATTATCAGAAAATAAAAACTTCTGGCCAAACCCACTTATTGCATGTTCTCATAAATGAAGGAGCTGAAACCAGCAGGTCAGACATTGTGGTGCAGCAAATCTGGCTCTTGGTTAGTGAGAACTCAAACTCATACACACACAAAAAAGCTTTCTGGCTATTTTGGCACATAATCAGAAATCACAGGTGTACTCAGGCACAAGCACACACATAAAGCAGTTATCTGTAGACATTTTTGTAACACCACTCTTGGCTCTGTTGCAAGACAAACTTAGAACCAGGAGGGTTTGGAAAGTGCAAACCGGTGTTGTCACAGCCAACGTTTGCTATAAAGTCTCTGAGGAAAAATCTCTGTTTTCCAAATTGTGTAGAAGCACAGTTACAGCCTGGCTGGCAGATCCAGCAGTTCCTCTGCCCTAAAACTCCAAAACTTGGAGCAGCTCTGTCATTATATACAAAAAAAAACCCAACCTTGTTCTCAGCCCACTGACGGTGTTCTGGGTTCAGGACAGCTGGGAAAAACTCCAGGCTGGAAAATGGCATGAGAAAATCAACACAAAAACATAAATCCTCCTCAAATTTGTGTGCTCAAGCCATGCCTCCTGGAATGCCCAGTTTGCAGCTGCCCTGGGTAAGCCCTGGAAGCCAATTTGTCCCTCAGTGCTGATGCTACTACTTCAGGGCTGGCCAAAATTACAGCTTGTTCAGGGTATTCAGGGTATTGACAAAACGCACCTTAAGCACCAACAGGCTTGGGGCACTAACCACCCCTTTAGGAAGGTGGAAAGATTTCCCTTTTGATGAGCAAATTCCCCACCTAAAACCCCAAAAGCCAGAACAAACTTGAAAGCTCGAAATTTCATTTTCTTTGCTGATCAAACTAAATGAAATGAGCATTCAGAGCAGTGCTTATGTGTTTGAGCTATTACTTCCCTTCCAAAAACAATTTATTCATTTCAGGCAGAGTTGTATTAAAAAACAACCCCCTAAAATGCCTGTTAGAAGTGCTTTCCACCACTTTTCCTTGCCAGGCTTTGGAACAGCCATGGAAACTCATGGTTGTGGCTGGGATCCCTGCTGCCCTTGGGCTATGTGGAGTGTGGTGGGCAGCCAAGGCAGGGGTAGGGCACAGGGAGCTGTGCAGGCAGCAGGTTTAGCACCCACCAAACCATGCTCACACTGGGAATTTGGTGTTTCCCCAGCAGCTCCTCCACTCCCACCACTCCCCAGTGCTGCCCAGGGCAACTGGACTCACTGGTGCCTGCAGGACTGGCTGCAGGGAGGTGATTTCTTATTGTGGGGAAGAGCTGAAGAAATATGCTCCCAAAGGTTATGGGGTCACAGGTGTAAAACACCTAAAAGCTCCTAAAAGTTCGCCAGGGCTGCGTGTGTGTCATAAAGGATGATTTCATTTCTTCCAGGCTGTAATATTTTTCTCCCCCTCACTCATGACATTAATCCTCCTTCTCCTCTTGCCTGCTGTTTGTGCTGCCAGGGGCAGATCTCCAGGGCAGTGACTCTTCCCAGCTCCTTTG